AACCCCCAAGGAGGCCTCGTGTTGTGAGCAATCGAGTGCAATTCGACGGTAAAGAATCCTTACTTGTATGCTTCCGGAAAAACATGTCCGCCGCCATTATTGTGTTGTCTACATTAAGCGTTTTTAAAGAGCATTTAACATTCGTAAGATCCTGTTTTTTAAATTGTGTTGGCGCCGGTATATCCCTTAGAGTTTTCCGATTTAGCTGCTTTTTAAAAACTATTGCCAAACACGTCTATTGTTCCCTTGTTCGCCAAAAATTAATTAACATTCTGCATTGTGTTGTGTTAATGGGTTCTAGCAACTTCGGTAATTATTTTATATCACACAATTCCACAGAGCCCGAGAGGTAAATAAAACGTAGCTATAACTAGGCGCRGWACTGGTTCAATTTGCTTGTCAATATGATTGGAACCGTTATTAGGTATTTTCACTGTTGTTCAGTATTTTTAGCCAAACAAACAACCTCGAACTTTATTTTGCATAAATTAAGTTATCAGTTATTTATTATTTGTTATTCACAAATAAGTTATAAMACTCTATAGAGTTATCATCACTAGTCAAACGAAACCCACGCCCATGGTCCCGGGGCAGGGTGTGGGATAAGTGGGAGATCGAACTAAAATCATGACCATAGGGGTGGGGGTTTCAATTGACTAGTGTATTATTTAACATTAATGTTCTTAGATCTTACAAAAATATGCTTTTTTTTTTTTCCTTCTTGATTTTCTTTTTCTGATCAAAGACCTATGAAAATGTTACCCTGTGAGACGTAGATAAATGGTCAATTTCCTCTTAGTCTTTGTATGAACAATCTTCTCCTGTTWACCAAAGACCCACACGTACCCACGACAAACGGTAGAAATGACCGTTTTTGTCGAAAAACTTGAGAAATGGAATTAAAGACTTTGAGGTCCCCAAATCTATGCTCAATTTGAACCCTGAGTTTCCGTAGCTGTCGATTGGCTCTTCTCTGGATACGATTTCGAGCAATCCTGTGTGGTGTTATGAGTGGCACTCTTGCGGCGTAACCACCGTCAGCCAATAACCGCGCATTCCTTGGTAGGCGTTTCTGACCATGAAACCCGATACTGGGAAGATAATTGTAGGTTGATGCATCATTAAGATGACCAGGAAATCTGCATAGTAATTTATAATTAAAACCATGATTGGTTTGCTGTTCTGGTATCAGTAAATTGATCACAAGAAGYGATACTGGTAAATAAAAAACGTCCTTACCCTGAAACAAGTAGCACTATCATACCATCAGCATCAAYAACCATCTGCGTGGATATAAAGTGGGTCTTTTTGTCGCCACGGTAAAATTCGGCCTGWAATAAGCCAGTCGGGCGCCGTATTTTATGGACGGTAGCATCGATAATCCCAACCGCATTTGGATAGCTTCTCCATTGACCAATAAATGTTGACCACTGCCTGAGGTTATGCCACGTGATAAGTCTACGGAAGTGGAGAAATAATATTGGCACTATGTGGTATATTTCTTCGTGTACAGTGCTAGTACTTATTTGAAATGTGAAAGCCAGGCTGTCGTACTTTGGATAAATTCGTAGCCAGATCATCACGAGTAAAACTCGGTTTCGCACATCTAAAATGCAGCGTCTTCTCCGATTGGAACTTGGTATTCTTGGACACATCCGAGGCTTTGTCACGTCAGGGGCTACTGTCTGTACAATGTTATCTAAAGTACCAGGAGTCTCGGCAGTGACGTACCAAAATGTTCTGGGRCTTCTTTCAAGCTTGCTCCATACGTCCTTTCCGACGTTTCTATGAAATATAATTCTTGGAAACAGTACTTGTATAAGTGGAGTGGGAACAGAGCATATTTGAAGAGCAGTTACAATTGTTGTAATCACGTTAGCCAGTGGTGGAAATGGTAGAAAAAGTAGATTGTCAGGATTGTCCAAAATAGCTAGATCCAAAAAAGAAATGCTTGCAGCAATAGTTGTGGCTAAACATAAAGGAAAAGGAGGAGGTAGAACTCGACGTCCATCCATACCTATAGCTAGTAGCAATGTGCGGAAAACTGCATAAATTTCTGACGCACGTAACAAAAGCGAAAAAAATGCTTTGTGAAAACAGGTTGTGAAAGTTGTGAGTATTTCTTTCACTCATGAGCTATGCTGATGATAAAGAACTCACGAGTTTATTCAGATGTCGAAAGAATGAAGTGTAACACATAGTTTTTGTCACCTATTTACCGAAGGTTTTTGATATAAAACCTGCACGAGTATTGGCAAAGAAGCCAGACTTATCCATACCTCTTGGTGTTCGGACCTGTTTCTAGTTCAAAATCATGGAAGATGAAAACATTTTTTTGAGAGCAGCTCTCAGCAAAAGTATAGAAATACCAA